AAATACGTAGGTGGATAATATATATTTGAGTCAGTCATAGAGCTCAGTTACTTTGCTCAGTAATTTGGCAGGATCCTCAATTTATTTAGATTGAACCTCTCCATGCACTCAACCAGATACCTTGGATTTATTTTATTACAAATACGTAGGTGGATAATATATATTTGAGTCAGCCATAGAGCTCAGTGGCTGAGTTACTTTGCTCAGTAATTTGGCAGGATCCTTAATTTATTTAGATTGAACCTCTCCATGCACTCAACCAGATACCTTGGATTTATTTTATTACAAATACGTAGGTGGATAATATATATTTGAGTCAGTCATAGAGCTCAGTTACTTTGCTCAGTAATTTGGCAGGATCCTTAATTTATTTAGATTGAACCTCTCCATGCCCTCAACCAGATACCTTGGATTTATTTTATTACAAATACGTAGGTGGATAATATATGTATGTATATGAGTCAGCCAGACAGCTCAGCGGCTGAGTTACTTTGCTCAGTAATTTGGCAGGATCCTTAATTTATTTAGATTGAACCTCTCCATGCACTCAACCAGATACCTTGGATTTATTTTATTACAAATACGTAGGTGGATAATATATATTTGAGTCAGTCATAGAGCTCAGTTACTTTGCTCAGTAATTTGGCAGGATCCTTAATTTATTTAGATTGAACCTCTCCATGCCCTCAACCAGATACATTGGATTTATTTTATTACAAATACGTAGGTGGATAATATATATTTGAGTCAGTCATAGAGCTCAGTTACTGTGCTCAGTAATTTGGCAGGATCCTTAATTTATTTAGATTGAACCTCTCCATGTCCTCAACCAGATACCTTGGATTTATTTTATTACAAATACGTAGGTGGATAATATATATTTGAGTCAGTCATAGAGCTCAGTTACTGTGCTCAGTAATTTGGCAGGATCCTTAATTTATTTAGATTGAACCTCTCCATGCCCTCAACCAGATACCTTGGATTTATTTTATTACAAATACGAGGTGGATAATATATGTATATATGAGTCAGCCATAGAGCTCAGTGGCTGAGTTACTGTGCTCAGTAATTTGGCAGGATCCTTAATTTATTTAGATTGAACCTCTCCATGCACTCAACCAGATACCTTGGATTTATTTTATTACAAATACGTAGGTGGATAATATATATTTGAGTCAGTCATAGAGCTCAGTTATCAGTAATTTGGCAGGATCCTTAATTTATTTAGATTGAACCTCTCCATGCCCTCAACCAGATACCTTGGATTTATTTTATTACAAATACGAGGTGGATAATATATGTATATATGAGTCAGCCATAGAGCTCAGTGGCTGAGTTACTGTGCTCAGTAATTTGGCAGGATCCTTAATTTATTTAGATTGAACCTCTCCATGCACTCAACCAGATACCTTGGATTTATTTTATTACAAATCATTTGAGTCAGATAGAATCAGTTCACTGTGCTCAGGATTTATTTTTTCCATTCAACCAGAAGTACTCTTTTATTACAAATACGAGGTGGATAATATATGTATATATGAGTCAGCCATAGAGCTCAGTGGCTTTGAGTTACTGTGCTCAGTAATTTGGCAGGATCCTTTATTTATTTAGATTGAACCTCTCCATGCACTCAACCAGATACCTTGGATTTATTTTTATTACAAATACGAGGTGGATAATATATGTATATATGAGTCAGCCATAGAGCTCAGTGGCAGCCAGTAATTTGGCAGGATCCTGCTTGAAAAAAATTTATTTAGATTGAACCTCTCCATGCACTCAACCAGATACCTTGATTTATTTTTATTACAAATACGTAGGGGGATAATATATATTTGAGTCAGTTTTCATAGAGATCAGTTACTGTGCTCAGTAATTTGGCAGGATCCTTAATTTATTTAGATTGAACCTCTCCATGCCCTCAACCAGATACCTTGGATTTATTTTATTACAAATACGAGGTGGATAATATATGTATATATGAGTCAGCCATAGAGCTCAGTGGCTGAGTTACTGTGCTCAGTAATTTGGCAGTGATCCTAATTTATTTTTAGATTGAACCTCTCCATGCACTCAACCAGATACCTTGGATATTTATTTTATTACAAATACGTAGGTGGATAATATATATTTAAGTCAGTCATAGAGCTCAGTTACTTTGCTCAGTAATTTGGCAGGATCCTTAATTTATTTAGATTGAACCTCTCCATGCCCTCAACCAGATACCTTGGATTTATTTTATTACAAATACGATGTGGATAATATATGTATATATGAGTCAGCCATAGAGCTCAGTGGCTGAGTTACTGTGCTCAGTAATTTGGCAGGATCCTTAATTTATTTAGATTGAACCTCTCCATGCACTCAACCAGATACCTTGGATTTATTTTATTACAAATACGTAGGGGGATAATATATATTTGCGTCAGTTATACAGTTCACAAACCCGCAGATTTTATCAAACATATTTACTTCACAAAAATGCAATTTTAAATATTGAATCATTTTATGAATCTTACGAGTTAAATATTGCTTGCAATACAGATCAGCATTCTTCTTTTTAAGTACTCTTGACTCTACCAATATGCAACAAAGGAAATAAATAATAATAAACAAAAAATAAAAATAAAACTCCATACGAGTACAATTCAGAAAGTTTCAATTTATATAATGCAGAATCTTTCCGAGTTTTCAATTTCCGGTCTAGAATGCACACTCGAAATAGAGTTTGCAGAACGAAAAAAGAATATTTGTTAATTCAATATTTACTTAAATATCGTTCTTTGACGTATAATATTTGCTTGATATAATTCGCCTTTTCAAGTGCTTCTACCGACAAAACTTCCTTTTGTTATATATAAATGTTTTTAAAGATATATTAAAAATAAGTTGCTTCAACTTTATGAGATGAAATGTTTTTCAAGAAAGATCCAGTTCTTAAGCCATAATTTTCTAAATCGCTGCTTGAAAAAAATAAAGTGTGTAACTTTTGAAAACGCTTCCCTTTAGGAATAAAAAGAAGCGATTTGCATTAATTCTAAGATGGGAGGTAGAAAATTATGACTCGAACGTCATTCTGAATTGGGAAAGGGTATTAAAATGGATAAAAGTTTTGCATAAAGGTAAGATCATAAAACGGAAATAAAAAAAAAAAGTCCGCTGAAATATTGGATGAAAATCAATATTTTTTGACGTGGGATTATTTAGAAGCTGAAATCTGGCACTATTAAAGTAATTATTTAGAACGGACAGTTTTTAAAAATTATTTTAACATTTTATTTAAATATTAATTCGGAATCCTTGTAAGATATTCATATATTTAAAAAAACCTAAAGTGTTTGTGTGTGTTGAGTTTAATAACTATTGAATTAACTGTATTTAATGAACAAACTAATTATAAATATGACTACTTAGAATAATTTTTTTTTTTACACTTATGATAATTATACTTACAAAATTACATAATATTTTTCGTTTTCAAAATCCTGAGAACGTGTTAGAAAAAGGAATAAACAGTGCAAAAGTGTCATTGTTAGAATATAAAAGAAATTAGTAAAATAATGTAAAATAATTTATTCATTAGAATGCAATCATAATGGACTTTTGCCATAATAGAAAATAAATGATATTTATTATTAGTTAAAACATTTATTCTTACATAATAACAAAATACTTTATTTCAAAAGTCCTCAAAATATTTCATAAAAAGGATTAAATTTTTTATTGTAAAAGTCCCATTATTAAAAAAATGTTATTAAATTAATGTAAAATAACTTATTTATTAGAATATAAACAAAATTGACTTTTGCCGTAACAGAAAATAAAAAAGGTTCTTTTAATTTTTAAAGTTATGCTCACAATTTATTTAATAAATAAAATAAAAATTTCGTTCCTTATGATGTTTGTGAACAAATTCCAAAACCCGCAGATTTTATCAAACATATTTACTTCACAAAAATGCAATTTTAAATATTGAAAATGCTTTTATGAATCTTACGAGTTAAATATTGCTTGTAATACAGATCAGCATTCTTCTTTTTAAGTACTCTTGACTATACCAATATGTAACAAAGGAAATGAATAACAATAAAAATAAATAAATAAATAAAAAGAAAACTCCATACGAGTACAATTCAGAAAGTTTCAATTTATATAAAGTAGAATCTTTCCGAGTTTTCAATTTCCGGTCTGGAATGCACACTCGAAACAGGGTTTGTAGAACGAAAAAGAATATTTGTTAATTCAATATTTACTTAAATATCGTTCTTTGACGTAGACTATTTGCTTGATATAATTCGTCTTTTCAAGTGCTGCCACCGACAAAATTTCCCTTTTGTAATATATAAATGTTTTTAAAGATATATTAAAAATAAGTTTCTTCAACTTTATGAGATGAAATTTCTTTCAAGAAAGATCCAGTTCTTAAGCCATAATTTTCTAAATCGCTGCTTGAAAAAAAATAAAGTGTGTAACTTTTAAAAACGCTTCCCTTTAGGAATAAAAAGAAGCGATTTGCATTAATTCTAAGAAGGAAGGTAGAAAATTATGACTCGAACGTCATTCTGAATTGGGTAGGGTATTAAAATGGATAAAAGTTTTGCATAAAGGTATGATCATAAAACGGAAGTAAAAAAAATTTGAGAGAAAGTATTGCATGAAAATCAATATTTTTTGACGTGGATTTATTTAGAAGATGAAATCTGTTTGTTGTTGTTGTTGTTGTTTCTTATCCCACTTGGCTGGCCAAGCCCACGAGCCCATGTGGACTCATGATTGAAGGGGAAGGAAGCAGCTTCTGTTGTGATGGAGCACCCGTAGGTAGAAGCCTGACTTTTGCTCCGTGACGCTCTTACAGTCATAGAAGACCGGGACCTACGGCTTAAATTGGATTCCGAACCACTACAAACATCCATGGCACCGCCGGGATTCGAACCCGAAACCTGTGGCACCGAGCGCCAGAGCGCTAGACACTCGGCCACCATTCAGGTCCCAAATTTGCCAACGGCATGCAGTGTTCCCAGGTGGTCATGTAAAAGTCATTGTGACCGCGCCCAATGATGCTTAACTTCGGTGATCTAACGAGAACCGGTATATTCAGCATGGTACGGCCGTTGACTAGATGAAATCTAGCATTATTAAAGTAATTATTTAGAATGGAAAGATTTTTTAATTCTTTTACCATTTTAATTAAATCTAAATCCGAAATCTTTATAAGATTTGTATAGTTCAAAAACCAAACTGCATTGTGTGTTGAGTAGAATAACTATTGAATTAATTTCATTTGATGAACAAATGAATTATAAGTAGGACTACGTAGAATAAAATTTTCCACTTCAGGTAATTAAGTCTGACTTTTGTTTTGCTGATTTATTCTAAAAATCGCATTATGCAGCATACATCGAAAATTTTAATTATTGATTAATATTAATTAACATAAATTCATTTAAAAATTGCTGGATTAATAATAAATTTCTATTGGTTGTTGTTATGACTAATCCTCTGGCGCCACCTAACATAGGTTCCGGATTCAAATCCCAACGGGCCCATGGATGTTTGAAGTGGTTCAGAATCCACTTCAACCGTAGGTCCTGGTCTAACATGATCGTAGAGCGTTGTTTTTAAATCTTGAAAACACATCAGAAAAAGGAATGAACAGTTTTAGTGTAAAAATTCTAATAATGACAATTAGAATGTAAAAATAAAGTTATTAAATTAGCGTAAAATAATTTAGTAATTAGAATGTAATCGTAACTGACTTTTGCCTTAACAGAAAATAAGAATGTTCTTTTAATTTTTAAAGTTATGCTCACACTTTATTTAATAAATAGAAAAAATTCTCCATTCCTTGTGATGTTTGTAAACAAATTCTCGAGCCCGCAGATTTTATCAAACATATTTACTACACAAAAATGCAATTTTAAATATTGAATCCTTTTATGAATTTAAGGGTAAAATATTACTTGCAATACAGATCAGCATTCTTGTTTTTAAGTACTCTTAACTATATCAATATGTCACAAAGGAAATAAATAAAAAAATAAATAAAAATAAAACTCCACATGAGCACAATCCAGAAAGGTTTCAATTTATATAAAGTAGAATCTTCCGAGTTTTCAATTTCCGGTCTGGAATGCACACTCGAAATAGGGTTTGTAGAACGAAAAAGAATATTTGTTAATTCAATATTTACTTAAATATCGTTCTGTGACGTAGAATATTTGCTTGATATGATTCGCCTTTTCAAGTGCTTCTACCGACAAAACTTCCTTTTGTTATATATAAATGTTTTTAAAGATATATTAAAAATAAGTTGCTTCAACTTTATGAGATGAAATTTCTTTCAAGAAAGATCCAGTTCTTAAGCTATAATTTTCTAAATCACTGCTTGGAAATAAAAAAAAAAATAAAAAAAATAAAGCGTGTAAGTTTGGAAAAACGTATATTTTCCCTTTTAAGAATAACTAAAAAAGAAGCGAATTATAAATTTGCATTAATATTTTTCCACTTTTGGTAATGAAGTCTGACTTTTGTTTTGCTGATTTATTCTAAAAATCGCATTATGCTGCATAAAATTTTTAAAATTTTAATAATTGATTAATTTTAATTAAAATATATTCCAAAATTATGACTCGAACGTCATTCTGAATTGGGAAGGGTATTAAAATGGATAAAAGTTTTGCATAAAGGTATGATCATAAAACGGAAATAAAAAAAAAAAATAAGTGAGTGGAAGTATTGGATGAAAATCAATATTTTTTGACATGGGATTATTTAGAAGAAGAAATCTGACATTATTAAATTAATTATTTAGAATGAACAGTTTTTAAATTCTTTTACCATTTTAATTAAATATAAATCTCAAATCCTTGGAAAATATTCGTGTATTTAGTAAACCAAACTAAAGGGTGCGTGTTGAGTACAATAACTATTGAATTAATTTAATTTGATGAACAAATGAATTATAAACGTGACTGCGTAGAATAATATTTTTCTACATATGGTAATTAAGTCTGAATTTTGTTTTGCTGATTTATTCTAAAAATCGCGTTAAGCAATATAAAATTTTAAAAATGTGTAATTATTATATTATTAATTAATTTTAATTAAAATATATTCATTTAATAATTGCTGGATAAATAATAATCTTCTGTCTGTTGTTGTTGCTAAACCTCAGTGTCTGGCAGCACGGACGAACACCACAACAGTAGTTCACACATGGAAAGGGGGCAACCTCTGTTGTGATGGAGCACCAGTAGGTAAAATTCTTATTGGGATACGAGTGGCTGAAGAACTAGGACAGTACCTCCGGGGACTACTTTTATGGGGAACTACCAGCGTTGGCGTATCGAATGGGAGAAAACCCGGAAAACTTCCACCAGTTAATCTGACTAACGAGAAAAGATGCTGAACGTCAGAAAGGTCATCGAGTCCCCCATTTTTGAAACTATGTCTACAACAATGCCGCCAGCGAATTGAACCTCATTTCTAATACTCACCAGCGACGTATGTTACACGAGTCAGGATATATTTTTCAAAAATACTAATTCTAATAATGGCAATTACAATGTTAAAAAAGTTATTAAATTATTGTAAAATAATTTATTAATTAGAATATAATCAGAATTAACTTTTACCGTAAACAAATACTATAAAAAAAAAATTTAACTATAAAATAAATTTACCGTTTATTTATTAGTAGTTAAAACAAATATACTTACAAAATTACATAATATTTAGTTTTTCAAAAATCTTGCAAACGTCTTAGAAAAAGAAATAAACATTTTTAGTGTAAAAATTCTAATAATGACAAAGAGAATGTAAAACAAGGTTATTAAATTTATGTAAAATAATTTATAAATTATATTGTAATCAGAATTGACTTTTGCCTTAACAGAAAATAAAAATGTTCTTTTAATCTTTAAAGTTATGCTAGCAATTTACTTAATAAATAAAATGAAAATTTCATTACTTAAAATGTTTGTAAACAAATTCCAAAACCCACAGATTTTATCAAACATATTTACTTCACAAATATGCAATTTTAAATATTGAATCCTTTTATGAATCCTACGAGTTAAATATTGCTTGTAATACACACCAGCATTCTTCTTTTTAAGTACTCTTGACTGTACAAATATATAACAAAGGAAGAAAATAGCAATAAAAGTAAATAAATAAATAAAAAGAAAACTCCATACGAGTACAATCCAGAAAAGTTTCAATTTATATAAAGTAGAATCTTTCCGAGTTTTCAATTTCCGGTCTAGAATGCACACTCGAAACAGGGTTTGTAGAACGAAAAAGAATATTTGTTAATTCAATATTTTCTTAAATATCGTTCTTTGACGTAGAATATTTGCTTGATATAATTCGCCTTTTCAAGTGTTTCTACCGACAAAACTTCCCTTTTGTTATATATAAATGTTTTTAAAGATATATTAAAAATAAGTTGCTTCGACTTTATGAGATGAAATTTCTTTGAAGAGAGATCCAGTTCTTAAGTCATAATTTACTAAATCGCTGCTTGGAAAAAAATAAAGTGTGTAACTTTTAAAAACGCTTCCCTTTAGGAATAAAAAGAAGCGATTTGCATTAATTCTAAGATGGGAGGTAGAAAATTATGACTCGAACGTCATTCTGAATTGGGAAGGGTATTAAAATGGATAAAAGTTTTGCTTAAAGGTATGATCATAAAACGGATATAAAAAAAATAAGTGAGCGGAAGTATTGGATGAAAATCAATATTTTTTGACGTGGGATTATGTAGAAGCTGAAATCTGGCACTATTAAAGTAATTATTTAGAATGAACAGTTTTTAAATTCTTTTACCATTTTAATTAAATATAAACCCGGAATCTTTGTAAGATGTTTGTATATTTAATAAACCAAACCATAGTGTATATGTGTTGAGTATAATAACTATTGAATTAATTTTATTTGATGAGCAAATGAATTATAAATATGACTGCTTAGAATAATATTTTTCGACATATGGTAATTAAGTCTGATTTTTGTTTCGCTGATTTATTCTAAAAATCGCGTTATGCAATATAAAATTTTTAAAAATTTTAATTATTATATTGTTAATTAATTTTAATTAAAATTAAATTAAATTTTTTGACGTGGGATTATTTAGAAGATGAAAGCTGGTATTATTAAAGTAATTATTTAGAATGAACAGTTTTTTTTTAAAAAATTATTTTACCATTTTAATTAAATATAAATCGGAAATCCTTGTAAGATTTTTTTATGTTGAATAAACCAAACTAAAGTGTGTGTTTCAAGTATAATAATTATTGAATTAACTTTATTTAATGAACAAATGAATGATGAATATGACTACTTAGAATAATTTTTTTCCACTTTTGTTAATTAAGTCTAAATTTTGTTTCTCTGACTTATTCTAAAATTGCTTTATGCAATATAAAATTTTAAAAATTTTAATTATTGTAAAACATATTCATTTAAAAATAACTGAATTTTAAATAAATTTCTATCTAATATATTTAAATAAAAGATCATTTTAGATGGTAAAACCTTTCAAACTTTTGCATATTGTTTTATATTATTTTGAATAGTTTAATTTTGTTTTATAAATAATGATTACACTGAAGTGACAAAAGTCATGGGATAGCAATATGCAAATTTTCAGATGGCAGTAGCATCGCGTAGAACAGGTATAAATGCGCAGTGCTTTCACAGAGCTTTCATTTCTGTTCAAGTTATTCATGTGAAGAGGTTTTGACGTGATGATGACCGCACGACGGGAATTAACAGACTTTGAACGCGGAATGTTAGTTGGAGCTAGACGCATGGGTCATGCCATTTCGGAAATCGTTAGGGAATTCAACATTCCCAGATCCACTGTGTCAAGAGTGTGCCGAGAGTATGAAATTTCAGGCATAACATCCCACCATGGACAGCGCAGTGGTCGACCGCCTGCACTTAACGACCGAGACCGGCGACGTCTGCAAAGAGTCGTAAATTCTAACAGACAAGCAACACTGTGTCAAATAACCGCAGAAATCAATGTGGGACGTACAAGGGACTTGTCTGTTAGAACTGTGCGGAGAAATTTGGCTTTCTTGGGCTATTCCAGCAGAAGACCGACT